ATTGCATCCTTTGCCGCATCCTCCCTGGCCTGATCCTCCCAAGTGCGTCTTCTCTTCATCTCTCCTGGCACTCCTTCCTCTTGTGTGCCACTTGGGTTCATAACATTCCCCATTCCAGCTAGAGTGCTCTCTCTTGTCCCAACCGGGTCCATCTCCTGCACTGGCCTCATTTTGCTAGATGAAGGCTTACCATCTCTTGAGGAGCTCTATTCCGAAACTAGCCATTTGCTGCCCCTGTTTAGCTGTGATTTCCGTCCACTCGCTTTAATCCACGGCCCAAAGGGTCTAGCCACAACCTGCCCTTCATTTTCTTACAAAAGAGGGCAATATTCTCTGCATGTCCAATCACACCACAACAAAAACAAAAATTTGGCAGCTTCTCATACTTAAAGTCTACCCAATAACCTTCTCCCTTATTCTTTCTTAGAGTGGTCCCAATCTTTAAGGCTTTACCAATGTTCATACGAACTCTCACACGCATATAAGGTTCCCTCTTTTTATCAGAAGCTTTATCATCTCAAGTGACAAGTTCCCCCAAGTGGTTCCCAATTCTCCTTGCCGTTCCCAGATTTTCAAAACTATATGACACATTATGAACCAGTACCTAAATCTCAAACTCATCCAATACCATCTTAAGCGAAATATCCCCCGGTTTGACAGCTTTTAACACAATCAAATTCTGATCAAACAGCCATGGTCCATTATCCAAAACATGATCCCCAAGTGGTTCCCAATTCTCCTTGCCGTTCCCAGATTTTCAAAACTATATGGCACATTATGAACCAGTACCTAAATCTCAAACTCATCCAATACCATCTTAAGCGAAATATCCCCCGGTTTGACAGATTTGAACACAATCAAATTCTGATCAAACAGCCATGGTTCATTATCCAAAACATGATTCATATCAACGGAATGGAAAAATTTAAACAAATACCCCCGTTCACCAATTTCCTGTATTGAGATACCTTTGCCCGGCTGCCACAAGTCTGCCATGACATCCCTGAAGAACGGGAATCAGATGACTTTGTCAGTGAGAATCGTCCCAACAACTGGGAATTCCTTCGCTTTCTCTACCCCTGTCGCTATTTCCCCTTCCTCTTTGTCCTCAATTATCAGCTCCTCGTCTATCCCGCCGATCCCCAGACTGCCGTATTTGACGATAAGGCTGCCTACCTACGCGTTTTCCTGGACTCGTTCTTCCCTTCGACCTCCGTCAACCCTGCGGCTTCCATCCTCCTCTTCGTCCATCACTCAGCCCCCTTACTCAATCGAGACTCGCCTTTATTTAGATTCTGATATTTTCTCTTTTATTTTCAAAGCTTTCATTTTCAAATTTGTCATTTGACAAATTTGACAAATTTGACCTTTAATATATTTCATTTCTTTTGAGTAAAAAATTAAAAAAATTAGATTTTGAAAATTTAAAATGAGAGAAATTAAACAATATTTGTAAAAATTAAATTTATGATATATTAATAAATAAAATATAGTCATTGTAGAAAATGTGAATTATGTAAAGTTCAACATATTACATTTAAATAGAAACGGCTGTGGTAATATATTTAATTTAACTTTTCCCTTTTTTGTTTGGTCAGACCTCAGTTAGTTTATGTATGGAGATTTTAATATTATACGTACTACTTAGATTTTTTAATGGTGCCTTCTAGCTTTTATACGGTTTAAAAAGTCTCTAAAAATTTCTAGTTGTATATTTGGCATGACAATTTTTAAGAGCTTTTCAAAAATTAAAAGATCTTTTATGAGATGCTACGGGGAGTAGCATCTGGGAAAAGCCTGTGACTTTTAGTACTAATTAGTCCTAACAGCTTGCATATTGAACCGAACTAATTCAAACAGTCAGCTTTTTACCAAACAGCTACCACCTTTTCTTTTTAAGATCTTTTCAGTCATTAAAAGCTAACAGTTATTGAAAAGTTTATAAAAGTATCTTTTCAACTAGTTGTGTCAAACATACCCTTAAACTTGTGACCAGCCTTTTTGTCAAACACTGTCAGGTACCTTAAATTATACTACCTCTGTCCCATTTTATGTGTATCCTTTAGTTTTGGCACAATCTTTAATAAATTGGTTGAAAATGTAAAAGTTGTGGTTGTGATTTGAATATAGTAAAGTGAAATGTTGTGAACCACATATTTCTTTCCAAAAAAGAGGAAAGTTGACATTTATTTTGAGACAACCCAAAAAAAAATAAGATAGATAAAACAATGAGACAGATGGAGTACTAGATACCTAATGGTAATGTAGTGATCATGTAAAACTTCGTAAATTGAAAACTTGGTATATTACTACGTATTATAGATACATATGCCGCACTGTCGCAGTACTGGATACGGTCATACGCACATAATGTAGGTACTTTTGAAAATGTGCCATTCATACATGCTAGATTTTGGGAATATAAATAAAAGTAACGTAACGTAGCAGGCGTTTACAAACGGCATTTCGTGTTTCCTTTCCACCCTGATAATTCCTTTGTTTTATGCTGCTTTACTCTTTTCATCTTTTTACTTTGCTGCCTCATTATTCATTTCTCAATGCGAGCTACGTTTACCGTTGACCATTTCATGTGTGTTATTTCAAAGAAAGTGTTGGCATTGCCTAGGATATACATTATGATGACCATTTGATACTACAAAAAACACGAGATTGATCGGACTATTTGACAAAGATTTAACAAAATTGGCAGAGATTTTCACGGAGATATGCCAAATCTGTGCCAAAAACAGTTTGACACAAGCTATGTGACACGAAATTATCAATAAATATGTGTCAAAACCGTGTCAATCCCGCAACTTTTTCGTAGTTGGATTATACTTTAATTTGCGTCCCTGACTCCCTTGGTCTTTCAATTGGTCTGGTTGTAACTAGATTCTGGCTTGCAGTTGTTCTACTAGGTCTATCATTTTTTTGATCGTCAAAACTGATGACTTAAATTGCAATTAAAGCATTCAGATAGGGAGTAAAATGACAAAAGGACCACAGGCAACCGTCAGCCCTCGAACCAGACTTAGAGTCAATCACCTTCAAAAAAGTAATAATAGGTCTCAATACTAAGTGATTTTGATCGATCTTATTTCACTTGATGGTGTGTTTCATGCGGGGGCGGAGCCAGACTTTAGTAAAAGGGGAGCTGGAATATAATACAACTATTAAAATGTAAAGGGAAATTTGCAATTTTGATCCTGTAAATTTACTCCGTGCACGTTTTTAGTCCTATAACTATATTACCATGCATATTTGGTCGTGTAACTATTTTTTTTAATTTAAGTACTTCCCCACAGAAAGCCCACTTTCTGATAGATAATTTACTGGATTATATATATATATATATATATATATATATATATATACATATATATCCATATATATCCAGCCACCTCCTTGTCGTCATTTATATTAAATATATGTTTTTAGTAAATTATATATATATATAATAAATTATATATAGTATATATATATATATATAAATTATAGTAAATAATATAAATTATATATTATATATATAGTAAATATATATATATATATATATATATATATATATATATACTATATATCTCCGGCCACCTCCTTGTCGTCATTTACTTTTCTTTCTCTATGTGGTGGACTGCTGGCCAATGGATTATTTCAATTAACTTCTTATCAAACACATAGTTTTTTATTCCGCACGCTAAATTGTGTAATAGTCAAAATAAGTAAGATTAGAATTACTTTTTTGATTGATTTGGTTGAAGTTTCTGTACAAGGTCATTAGCTATATTTTCATATAATTGTTTCTTAATTGGGAAAGTTCCCGAAATAGGACTAAAACAGTTTGAAAATTCCAAAATAGGACTGTCATGTTTTTTATTCCCAAAATAGGAGTAATTACTATCAAGTTTGGAAAATACTGCCATGTTTGAAGTCTGATACTGCCAAAACATGACAATAATTAGTTCTATTCTGGGAATAAAAACATGGCAATCCTATTTTGGAATTTTCAAACATTTTTAGTCCTATTTCGGGTAATATCTCTTCTTAATTTTATCAATAAAATATATTTTGAGTATATTTTTTCCACAATTCAGCAGATTCAGCCAAATCAACTTTTTGAACTAAAATTTTATCAATTTCCTCAGATTCAGCTGATTATAGTTCAAAATAGACTCTACAGGTGAACAACTTCTTAGTTGATGGAGAAAGAAAGAGAAACTGAGCAAAAATTACATAGAAATTGCTCTGAATAGGAGTAAAAACGTTTTGAATTTCCAAAATAGGGCCTTCATGTTTTTGTTCCCTATATAGAAGTACTTTTTGTCAAGTTTGAAAAAAACTACGATGTTTAAAGTTTGGTCATGCTGGCAAAAATTACTCATATTTAGGGAATAACAACATGCTAATCGAGCGACGGTCCGATCTCCGCCTGAACCACCACCATGAGTTGTACGTGGTGCTAGAGTCCATGAAAGTTTTCCTAGTAATTTTTTTCGATTTGTCATTTGTTTTCTTGTGTTCATCTTTGTTGTAGGTTTTGACAATTTGTTTGAGTTTTTAGTCTCTCTTTATGTCATTGGGTATGGTTGGATCTATGGGAACGGGTTTGGCTGTGTCAAGCCCACTACATGGTTAGCGATTCTTGTTGTTTTTTCAGGGGTTACCGTCTCTCAAAGTCTCACCATAGGGTTATAGTCGTAGTTGTTGGTGTCAGTTTTATTTTCCCTTTGTTTAATGTAATGATCCTGAATCTTTTGATATGAATAGATGTCTGTTTTGACGATAAAAAAAGTTACTTCCTCCATCCCTTATAACTTTGCCAACTTTCTTTTTTTGGATGTCCCAATAACTTTGCCACTTTCCCTTTTAAGTAAAGAATTTGTCGTTCTAGTTAATTCTCTCTCATTTGCACAAACCTCAATCACACAATTTTTACTTTATTAATCCTCGTGTCGGTCAAACTTGACAAAGTTATTAGGATCGGAGGGAGTACGTTATGTCGGGAAAAAAGAGAAGACGGTAGAAAAGAAAAAGGAAAGAGACTTTTGTAACGTAAAGAAATGAAGCTAAGAGCAACCCTAAAATTGATGTAGGCTAGCTGCACCCAGCCAGCTAGCATATACCAGCATTTATTTAGTCCAAAAAGTTAAATGTAGAAAACAATGGCTGGGAAATCAGAAATGTTCGTTGACATGCTAGCTATCATAAATACATACAGATATATAGCCGGCCTAGCCAGCCTCTTTCTTATTAATCAGGACACAATCTTCATTCTTCACCTACCGATCGACCAATTCCATCTAGCTGCGCTTCAAGCTTGATCGATCAAGCAATTAGGCTAGTATGGCGGCCGAGAAGGCCGAGAAGGCGAAGGTGAGTACGTCGAAGGCGGTAGACTTTGGGTGCATATATATCATTATTTGATTACTAAATGTTTTTTCTCTAGACACTTGACTCTGATATCATGTTAATTTTTGGAGAGTAACTCTAAAATCGTATGTTGGTTTGTATTTTCATACGCCTTGACCTGCGATTTGGCCATGGCAGGTGCCGAACAAATTAGTACTGAAAGTGGACTACGACGGGCCGAGCGAGCTGGTAGATATGTTCGTAGTTGTGGCGGGATGCGATGGCGTGAAATCGATGGAGGTGGCGAAGATAAAAGACGTGAAACAAATAACAATTACAGGGAGCTTCGAAGGCGGTGAGCAAATCATGAGCAGGCTGCGGTGGGGGGAGGGAAACAATTTTTGGTCGTCGTGCTGCGGCGGAGATGCCACTAACTTTAATCCAAGAACTGTGACCTTTGGTCCGCTCACCGCAAAGAAAGGGGACGGCGGCGACAAGCCAAAGGACAATGCAGACACCAAAAAGGATGACGACAAGAAGAAAGCAGATACTCCTCCTAAGCAAGCTCCCTCCCAGGCAAGTAGTATGTATACTCTATGTGTTGATCTCTAGCTGAGCTCCATCATTTCATAACTTATATAGATATATTGATGCTCTAACTAATACTATCGTAAGTGTTTTCAATTTAAAAAATAATTTTCTACCGGAAAGTAAACTTTCCAACGGAAAATTTGAGATCGGCGGTGTCTTTTCCCCTATTTTTTTTTGCTAGAAAGTGTACTTCATGATAAAGTTGCAAACATCTACTACGCTACTGTTAATTATAGGATCATCTTTGCTAGTGAGTACGTACACTTAAATTATATAGAAATTGTCCTAGGAGTAAAAACGTTTTGAAATTACAAAATATAAATATCATGTTTTTTATTCCCTACATAGGAGTAATCTGCCAAGTTTGGAAAAAAATGTCATATTTAAAGCCTAATAATGCTATACTTGGCAGAAATTTACTCCTATTCAGCGAATAAAAAACATGATAGTCTTATTTTGGAATTTCAAAACGTTTTTACTCCTAGGACAATTCTCTCTAAGTTTTATTAATGGACATGGTAAAATTCTCTCTAAGTTACAAGAGTAAAATTACAAACCCCCCTAATATTTATTTATCATATTCAAATTTTTTACGAGACATCAATATAATTATCGTGTCATTACAAATTATGGGGTTTCTTTATATAATTAAGGCCACTACAGTTCCTATTATATCAGTCAAGTATAAAAAGTCACACTATAATGTACTAAGCACCTTCATTTTTGAGGTGTGAAAAAAAAGTACCTTCATTTTTGAGGTGTTAAAAAATACCTTCATTTTTGTCATGTATGTCATTATTTCTTATAAATATGTAAGTTACAATTGTAAGTATGACTAACATATGTATTATGACATCCTAAAAGAATTGATTTTATCATTAGTCAATCGTGCATCATAAACAAACAGGAAATTTTGAAATGGATACGGAGTATATAATTAAATGCTTCGTATATTGTCATACTTTCTCACTTTATTAAATAAGTGCAATATCTTAAAAATTACGGTATTCATATGTTTGACTTCATTTTATTTACTAATATATTAACTAATTATTTAAAAAAACATGGTTGAACTTATTTTATTGTTAAATTTCAAAATCTTATTTTTTTAGTTTTTTACTAATAGAGAATTATATATATTAAGAACAGATGAAATACTATTATCAAATTAATATTTATACAAACTATTACTATTATTTTTTTTAATATTATTTATATATATATATTAGTATTACTATTCACTCCATAAAATTAGAGAATAAAAAATATTTAAGTGGTAAACACAGAATGAATGTGTAAAATGTACTACTAAGTAGTTCTTTATTTTACAATAGGCCTGGACTCGTTTTAGACTTGGTAATTTGAAAGAATATTTGAAGTTCTATTATCATGCTTTTTTTGGTCCATTTCCAATGTATGTCGCAATCTCCTTCCTTCAACTTGCGGATCTATGGCGTTATCGTCATACATTGGAAATGGACCAAAAAAAGCATGATAATAGAACTTCAAATATTCTTTCAAATTACCAAGTCTAAAACGAGGATCGAGAATAAAAGTAATACCATAACTATGCCGAATATGTGCATAATATTTTAAAAACTTTTCCTTCATAAAACCACAAAAATAACTCACGTAAGCAGCATTCTCAAATACATTAAAAGCACCAGCGAGATTAACAACTTCACGAATAAATTCGTTTGAGGTAGGTTTATAAACATGACTAAAACTTTCAGTTGCATTATTAAAAAATATCAAAACATTACAATTTTTTTCTCAAGTGTCGATGTGAGCGGAGTTTAAAATATAATTATCATATTATCTTAAAAGAGCAGGAAAATGTTCTTTATATTTAAGAAGAACTTTAATTAATTTATAAGTACTATTCCAACGAATAGACAAATCTTTAGGAAAAGCAACATATTTCACACCTCTTTCAATCAAATAATTTTTCCATTTTAATTTAAGTTGACCATTACCCCAAATACGTCTAATCCCCCCTTGACTACCTCCATAGCATCTCCTAACGCTTTTAGACCGTCTTGCACATATAAATTTATAACATGGCATGCACATCGTTGATGAAAAAATCTACCCATCAAAGTATTAGAACCACACAATTCACGCAATCTAGGTATAGCAGCACTATTATTACTAGCATTATCAAAACCTATAGCAAACACCTTATCAATCAAATTATACTCATTTAAAATACGTTCAATCAAAAAATAAATATGTTCAGCGGTGTGACGATCATTAAATTCACGAAAACCAAGAACACGTTTATGCAAATTCCAATCATTATCAATAAAATGTGCAGTCAGACCCAAATAATGTAAATTATGATAAGTATCCTCCCAAATGTCAGAACAAATAGTAACACGGCCATTAAAGTTTGCAATTTTTTTTGTAACCTATTTTTTTCCGCACGATAAAGACTTATAATTTATTTTTTAACCGTTTTGTGACTATAACCTCTAAATTGAGGATTTAAACAAGTTCGTGCATAATCATTAAAAACAAGACTTTCAGAAAACAAATAAGGCAAATTTTCTTCAACAAGTAAGTTAGCCATACCATCAAATTTTGTGCATCATTGTTTTGGAAATTACCAAAAGGTTGGTCATTAGCAAACCTCGATATTTGAGTTTGCTTCCCCTTGTCTTTCGATACTTTCGCATACTCCACCAAGTGTGCAAACTTAAGATGCCTTTTGAGGCTCCCGTATCCGCCGGAAGTTCCCAAGCTATACTCCTTATTGCAATGATTGCAACTTGCGTACCATTTCTCGGTTGTTTTGTCTTTCCTCTTTGTAAAATAATTTTATATAATAGGAGATTTAGATTTCTTACCAAGTTGAATTGGGATGAACCACCTTCGTCCTCCAACTCTTGCTCATCATCCTGGGTGTCGTGACTGCCGTTGCCCCCCTTGTCCTCCTCCGCATCCTCATCCTCAAGCTCGTCTTCGTCAATGGACTCCGGGATGTTTAGTTGATGGAAAAAGCGACCATCATTTTGCGCCAATAGTTATTGTAGTTGCTCGTCGGACATCACATCACCATCTCGCCTTTGGTATCCCGTTTCAAAATCTTCTCAACTTTGAGAAGAAGACCCGGCTCACCCTTTACCTTTGCCTTTGCGTAAACTAGGATGAGTTGTCGCAATCTCCTTCCTTCGGCTGCGTTGGAGATTACCCATATCTACAGAATGTCTACCACGGTCCATCTTTAAAATGTAATAAATATTATATTATATCAAATGTTTTAATATGAGTACAATAGTAATAATAAAATGTGACTAATAAAATTATAGCAAGTTTCCAAGTACTTTAATAAAAATAACAAGTGTATTTAATTTATTAAAATAGGAGTAACGAAATTCGAATACTTGGAGTGTGTTTATTAAAATAACAAGTGTGTTTATTAAAATAGCAAGTAATTTATTAAAATGTAACAATTAACTAGTTTTATACTTTAATGAAAAATGCAACAATTAACAAATTAACTAATAGGGAAATGAAAAATGTAACAATTAACTAGTTTTGTACTTTAATGTTTATAGTAACAATTAACTAGTTAGTTTTATACTTTAATGAAAAATGCAACAATTAACAAATTAACTGATAGGGAAATGAAAAATGTAACAATTAACTAGTTTTATACTTTAATTTTTATAGTAACAATTAACTAGTTTTTTACTTTTATGATAAATGCAACAATTAACAAATTAACTAATAGGGAAATGAAAAATGTAACAATTAAGTAGTTTTATGCTTTAATGAAAAATGCAACAATTAACAAATTAACTAATAGGGAAATGAAAAATGTAACAATTAACTAGTTTTATATTTTTATGATAAATGCAACAATTAAAAAATTAACTAATAGGGAAATGAAAAATGTAACAATTAACTAGTTTTATACTTTGATGAAAAATGTAACAATTAAAAAATGTAAGTAATAGAAAAAACGAGACAAGTATTAATTAACTAAAGAGAAAAGGGTCAAATAAGGCCTTCTACTATTATGAAATCGTCACATAAGGCCATGTACTCAATAAAGTGTCATATAAATACGTCTACTTATAAAAAACAATCGGATGAGTCCTAATGACCCGTTGACAACCTCTTAATCCTGATTTTAGCTTACGTGTCAAATATTTACTTGTATTTCAACCAAACTTTTTTAAAGCGAAAAGCGTCCAAAAGCGATGACCCCGTGCTTTGCTTAAAAGCGAAAGCGCTAAGCGAAGCGTAGCTTTCTCACAAAAAGCGATGCTTAAAAAAATCAAAGAAAATATAATATATAATGTATACTTATGCCAAAAATGCATATAAGTAGTCATAAAAGTCATTCAAAATATTACCAGTACGGCATAAAGTTTCAAAACATTCATCACACAATTACAAAAAACACATAACTAATCATAAAAGTCATAAGGGTAATACTAGTGCGGCATAAAGATAAAAACATTCATAATATAATGTCATATTTTCATTAAAAACGGTTATTCGAATCCTCATCATTCCATCATATCATCCTCTTCGTCATCAAACTGGCCTTGTTCTTCTTCATCCATAACTAAAGTGTCAAAGTCCTCACTGTCATCATCATAGACCCCCGCATCCTCCTCATCTTCATCCTCATCTTCATCAACAAGTCTACGGGTGGAGGCTTTTTCTTTTCCCTTAGACTTGAAACTTTCCGCTTTATCTTTCCCTTTGGAATTGCGTCTAAGAGAATACGGGGTATCATGTACACCAGAAAACTTCGCAACATCTCCCCAGGTCAAACCATCTCCATCATCAAAGACCAACTCTTCATTTGCATCATCAACGGTACCAGTCAACCATTCATTTGCCATGTCTATATAATCCAAGCAAATAGGATCTATAGAATCACGCATTTCCCAACGACGTCTCAAAGCCCTATTGTACTTGACGAATACCAAATCATTGAGACGATTGTATTCTAGACGACTTCTCCTCTTC